AGGGCGCCGTCCTCCCGCATCGCTTTGCCAGCGCCGCACGACCCGGGCTGGGAGCCCGGCAGCAGCCGCCGGCCTGGAAACCTTCTCCCCCAGTAACTTCGAGTGCCCCACGGAAACGCCACGTTTTCTTTGCGAGGGGGTGTTTGCAGAGCGGGGGTTTATGTTTGGTTGTTGTCTTTTCTTTCTGGGACGTGCCCACACGTTGCTATGGGATGGAGAATTGCTGGCGAATACAAAACGTAAGGGATTGCGGCCATGGGACGTTGTGCTGGTGCTGAAATAGTTAAAGTTTTCTTCGTGATGCCTTCCCCCCCCCTCCAGGACCATTATAAATATTCCTGTTCAACAAACCACCACTTACACCACCTGCTTTTCTATAGAAAGTGTTACAACATAAAGCCCCTTGAATCCGAGCTTAATGAAATAAGCAGATAATCTTTCTAGAGAGAGACTATCAAACTTCCTTAATGAGTAATTCCACACATTATTATTATGGAAATATAGGTCTGGAACCTACTGTTTCGTGTTCAGCTAACATTCCAGATATTCCTAGATGAACCTTTAAATCACTATTTATTTATTTTTAAAAATTTTATATTTCTAATAATTCACCAAAATTTTGTGTTAAATTCTACTAGAAGAAAGGGCTAGAGCCAGAATTAGACCCATTTCAAAAGACCTGCTAGAAGTTGCTTCAAGTTACAGCCATAAATCATGCACTGAAATATCAGTACTTAAATGCTGTGTATAAAGTTATAAATAGCTTTATAGTTAAAAATATTCTGAATAAATTTAAATTGGAAATGCTACTTTTTATTTAGTCAAATGGAAGTATGAAGTTAAATGTGCAGCTTTGAAGAAGGAATCTTCAAAGCGTACCAAACCTAGACATGTGGTTGATCACTCTACAGGTTTGGCTGTTTGTAAGAAGGTATTACAGCGGGGGGGGGGGGGGGGGACACATTGGACATTAGAAATACTTAAAGAAACTTATAATATTATGCTATGAAAGTACCTTATAGCTATAATGGAAATATAAGACATATAGAGATGTATGTTTAAGGTAATAGAACATCAGTAATATAACCTCCATTATGTACAGTAAAATATGTAAGAGTTGGTTTATTAGGCTGTGATTAACCACTTTCAGAGATGAGGTTATGTTTAGCTGAAAATAATTGTGGTGCTACTAGAACTGATGTCTTTTTGTATGGAAGTGTCACTGGAGTATACTGACATGAAGACTTTAGTAAGCCATTAGCATAAAGTGAATTAGTCTGTTTTTTTTTAATGTAGTATTTTGTGTATTTGAAGTGTGAGGTAATTGCAGAGTGTTTTATTTTCTGTTCTCCTGGTTGTCATTTGTTTATAGAATTACTGCTTTATCAGTTAAGAGACATCTTATTTTTTAATTTTTTTAATCTTGAGAAGACTGTTGCTTTTGCAGTGCAACTCCTGGTAAGATATTGACTACTTCTGTCTAAATCAGTTTGGAAAAGTGTTGAAATATTAGTGTGTATTGTTTTAAGCTCATTGTAATAACCAGCATATGGGAAATCTCCTTCTTATGACAAAGGAGATGAAGGGAGAATGCATCTTAATGACTGATTAGTTACACTTTAGAGCCCTAAGAAAAATAATACACTTTGATTTAAGTAATGAAATTGTTAAGATTAATGTATATCTGCTTATATGTGGGTGGTACGTAATCATTTAATAATCTATTTACAAGTAAATGTGTAGTTGTGATTGCATGCAGTTTTTTTAATATGAAGAAAAAATGTTAGTTTGTATAAAAATGTATTATCACTTCTTAAATTCAGACTTTGTTTTTTGGTTTTATATTCCCACTTGTATTTAAAAACCGGTGGATTTTTTTTTCTTTTTTAAGTAATATTGCTGGACTCTAAAGCACAACAGACAGAGTTGGAATGGATTTCCTCTCCTCCCAATGGGGTAAGTACTCCAGGCAAAAATTAAGTTCCTAAATCTGAATAGTTATTTTACTAAGACAATCAAAAGACTTGGTTTAAACTAGCTCCCCCCCTATTTATCTCAGCAGCCGTACCAAGTGTTTACGGCTTTTTCATTTTTAGAATGGAAGGAAGCATACGTCAGGTCACAGGATACAAATGTACAAGCTAATGAAAAGCAAGAGTCTTTTTAGAAACTCACCTTAGTGTTCTTGGTAGCTTTATGTTTTCTAGTGTAATCCTTTGTGCCTTACAAGAAAGCTCTGTAAATTTGTAACATGCTACTTTAAATCACTTTTTCCTTTTTCCTTTAGAAACAGCAGGTTTACTTCTGTGTGGAAACTTTATAAAAATATGTTTTTCATTTTCTGTATAATGGGTGATCATAAATTTGTTTACGATGTTTTCTTTGTAATTGAATAGCACAGATTGAAGTGCTTTAAAATAAAAACATTTATGCTGCAGATGTGTTTGAAATGACATTCCAAACTGGAAACATCCCCAAGTCTTTAGGAGCCTGATATCTGGAACTAGGCACAAATGATGTGGTTAAGGCCATCTCCAGCTTGCTTACAAATTAATCTCATGGTACTCTGTGAAATGTAACATTGTAAAGTACATCATTATATAAATGAGAAGTTTAGAAACATCAGTATTGTCTTATTTATTATATACGTAAAGTTGAGAAATGGGCTGCTTTCAGTCTGAATTGCAAGTGGTATCAAACCCCTTCTTCCTCAAGCCTCACGGAAGAATGTTTTCAGAAAGATGTAATGGGGATATTGTCCTACCTTAGCTCAGTCCTACCTTAACTCGGTCTGACAAATCATAAGTGATATGGACAGTTCTTGCTCATGGAAGCAGACTTGCTGCATCCATTGCGACTAGTTTCATGAACAAGGACTTGAGGGATCAGGCCTGTAATCTTCAGCGCATTAAGAAGTCTGGAGCCAGAAGAGCGTGAAGTGTGAGTGGGGATATAAAAGTGTAACAAATCCTTTAAATAAGAAGAATGAAAATCTGAAAGTGCCTTTCTTTAGGAGCAAGATCGTAAAATCAATACAAGCATAAACTGGAAATGAATCTAAGGACTTCAGAAAAAATGTAATGCGAGCTCTATGTGTATGATGGCTAATAACCTCGACATTAGCGTTTTGCACTGATTGAAGCCTTTACCAGAGGTGTTGGAAAGATGAGTTTGGTGGCAATTATATTAGGCTAACCTGTAGATAATGAAAGACATGTCAACACATGTTACACATGTCAGCATACTGAAAGACAAAAGCAGAGTCAAATTCAACAAATAGTAGAAGGCGACTTTCAGAGGTAGAAGCTAATTTTAATCAGGAATTAAAAGTGAATCAAAACTGATGGCTGGATTTGTATGCATGAAGATGTTCAAAAATATTTGCCTGTAAATTAACGTGAACGTACAATTTTAGTAATGGAATTCTGAAAATAAGTGTTTTTCTAGTTTTAATTACTGAATATTCTACTATGCAATAAAGACTTTATGGGAGTAAAGACAGAAAATCTTGAGAGAAACTACTGCATCATCACAGTACAGAATATCAGCCAGACACTCATTAAATGCCTTGTTCAATTGCAAATGTAACATCTAACAATGATCTCAAACATTGTTAAGATAACGAAGAAGTTAAAATATCATATATTGAAACCAATACAACAGGACACATACAAGTGGAATTGCATGTGTGTCACTAGATGTGGTAGCAGGATGAAGAAAAGTTGAAATTTCTTAGTGTAAAATATTTCATGGAATTGATCAGTTTGAAAGACTATAATGAAACATGACCTCAGATGGCATAGGTGAAAACAGATCCTGAAGTACTGATTTTTATTTTTATTTTTTTACTTCAGAGAAGTGCAGGTACACTTCTTAATTTTTTTAGAAAAAAATATTCTGTGGCTTTGGGAAAATATGGCAAGAGAGACTTCAGCGTTTAATGCTAGAGATAACTTAAAGTACGACTGCTTGTCTAAATTTAGTTTTTCATGTTGTTTTCCTTGGCTGTAGCATAAGAATCTCCCTGACATTAGATAGCTTCATGTAGAGGGCTTTTGCCTCCAAAAAGGCTAATTTCTATTGTATTACAAAAGATTTTTTTTCTGATTTTTTTTTTTTTTTTGTGAGGGTGGGAGGGGGGAATACATGAGGATTTGTTTTGATGAAGCAGTCCACATCAAAACCCGAGGAATTGGAGTCTATTTTGTGGAGCATTAGAGTTACTTTCACTTCAAAGATATGAGACATCGTCTAACTGGAATATCTCATTGCAGAGTCTGGCTTGGTATTTCGAGAGAGGAATGCTTACACAAGCTAAAAAATGAAACAAAAAAACCCCAACCCAACACTACCCAATATGAAACAGAATATAAAAATCACTAAAATTTTAGGCTTCATATCTATTTTATCATGTCTGTATTTTGGGTTTTTTTGTGTGTGTTTTCTATTTTTCAGTGTGGCAGAGCAAAATGCCTCAGTCCAGGGCCCCTTTTTTCTTTTTTCTTGTTTGTGCTAATTATTATAGAGGGGGAAAAAAAATCTTAGTCATTTAGGTCTAACAAATTTATTATGAAGATAGACTTTCTTCTGTATTGAGATTAATACAGTTCCATATGTAATCAGTTCAGTTAATGCCATGAGCATTTAATAATAAATTTCAATCATTTAATACCATATGCATATATAATACCATACATCCCACATCTATATTAACTGTAGGTCTTTGAAATACACTTTGATATTAACAACTTCTGTGCATTTCAGCATCTGCAGCTGTGATGTGTTTTGTGGTAATAACTTCAAGCGTCAATTCAGCCACATCTGTTTTGGTTTTTTTTTTGGAAGGAATAGTACACCAACATTAAAATGATCTCATTTGCTTTCAAATAGGCTTACAAAGTACTGTATACTGTGTGGCTCCTAGTCTGTGAAACCAGTGCCTTCCATGGTTGGTTACTGGAGTAAGAAATGTCAGTGGTTGCTCTGTCCTGCAGAGGTGCAGAGGATCATAGTCCCACAAAGCACTTAAGCACATGCTTACCATTAAGCTCGTAAGTACTATCATTGATCTTAAGCGAGAGCTTAAGTGCATTATTGACACAGGGCCAGAGGGCTAAGTGCCATACGGAGAAGTCATGGTAGAAGCCTATATCATGAGGTGAGGATAGCTCAACCCTCTCCCCTAATTTATTACAGCTGTGGGTTCTGTGGTGAATTAAATGTTACAAGAAATGTGAAAAAAAGGTGAGAGACAGATACTGTTTTCGTTACACCTGGGCAGATCCGGCTGGCTGATTTCGGTGGAAGGTTTGCTATTGCCAGAGGTGCTAATTCCCACGCCACCAAGGGCTGTTAAAGACTACTGGGCTGTTACAGGCTTACCAGTTTGTTACCTAGTTGTTATCCTAAAGAGAGAACAACAACAAAAACCAGGCTTGGAACCAGCGAACTTTCAGTCATGTGGGTTGTTCTTAATTACCTATGTAATCTCATGGCTCATTTGAACTCCCCTCTAAATGAAGTTTGCTCCTTTTGACATGGATGTAGCCACTGAAAAAAACCATGGGGTGAGGAGGTCCCACTTGTCTGTGGTTTGTAAGTAGAACAGAAGGTGGACTAAACGAAAAGGAGACAACCAAAATGTTTTCTTACTTTCAGGCTTTTAGTTCTGTTCATTTGCTCTTGCACTCTTTCTCTATGCCACTTTCATCATATAGGAGTGAAAATCGTCTGACTTCCAAGTTTCAGGGCCTGATCCCATGTTTTCTGTACAATTGAAAGTTCCACTGGAAGTTTTATGTACACAAGTTTTATGTACTGTAACACTAGGCAATTTTAATTTCTAAGACTTCACTGATTTGAAGTTTCTCTGGAAGTGAGGCCGTGTCCCTCCTTTTGGTCTTTACTCACCCAAAACTGTCATGACCTTAATGAAAAATGGGATACCCTCGTGTGTAATTAGAACTTGGTACCTGAACAGCCTTCTCTGAAGCTTCTTCTTTACAATGATACCCGTGATATGACTTTTAGAAGTTATTTATATGTGGGAAAGACATACAGAGAGCGAGAACCTGCAGCTCATTTGTGTGCTTAGGAGTATTTTAACATTAACCTACTTTTGAAACCATACTGTTAAAAAGAAGGGAGACTTGAGTTGTGTAAAGCCTTTTAAAATACACAGTAGTTCCATTTGGTGGCATACTTATTTTGTATTACTAACTGTTTGTTATTGTTTTAGTGGGAAGAAATTAGTGGACTGGATGAAAACTACACTCCTATACGAACATACCAGGTATGCCAGGTGATGGAATCAAACCAAAACAACTGGCTTCGGACTAACTGGATTGCAAAAAGCAATGCACAAAGGATTTTTGTAGAACTGAAATTCACTCTGAGGGATTGTAACAGTCTTCCTGGAGTTCTGGGGACTTGTAAAGAAACTTTTAACTTGTATTATTATGAAACAGACTACGACACTGGCAGGAATATCCGAGAAAACCAGTATGTAAAAATAGACACTATTGCAGCAGATGAAAGCTTTACCCAGGGTGACCTTGGGGAGAGAAAAATGAAACTTAACACAGAGGTGAGAGAAATTGGACCTTTGTCCAAAAAAGGATTCTATCTTGCGTTTCAGGACGTAGGGGCCTGCATTGCTTTGGTCTCGGTCAAAGTCTACTACAAGAAGTGCTGGTCCATCATTGAGAACTTAGCTATTTTTCCTGACACAGTGACTGGCTCAGAGTTTTCCTCTTTAGTTGAAGTACGAGGAACTTGTGTCAGCAGTGCAGAAGAGGAGGCGGAGAACTCACCGAAGATGCATTGTAGCGCGGAGGGAGAATGGTTAGTGCCTATTGGAAAATGTATCTGCAAAGCAGGATTCCAGCAAAAAGGAGACACATGTGAACGTAAGTAAATGTACAGCTTGCTGTAATATGTACATTATAGGTTATGTTCTACCAGCTTTTTCTTTTTCTTTTTTTTTTTTTTTCCAAGAGAAATACATCGAACCAGTCAAGGTGTTGGTCCTTGTACCTCTTGGTAATGCCCAGCAAGTCATAACTATCACAGAACGTTGTATCAGTAATCTCGAATATGAGTATTTAAACAATTTGTTTCACACATTTTGTGACAGAATTGTAAGGAAACTATAATTGAAGAAGTAAACTTAGAATGAGGTGTGCTTAGCACTGGAAAGAACACACACACAATAAAAAATGAGTTTGAGGCTTGTGTCGAGTGTGTAAAAAAATCAAACACAAAACATCTTTCAAACGTTTTCAGAGTAAAGTATGTTTTCCTTTTTATGGTACCTTTGTGCATAAAACTAACTCTAAACTTTTGGCTTGCCGTGATTAGTTTAAAATACTAGCAATTCAGAGACTACTGAGTTGTACTTTCTAACTCAGATTGACTCAGTTATTCATATCCTTAGAATTATACTTAACTTAGAATTATACTTTAACTTTAGCATTGCTGTGACTGGGGCTACATGCATAAGACATTTCTGCTTAGTGTGAGAAAGGATATTTCCTTGTCTTTACTTACAGTAAAAACAAGAGAATAGGCAGTTTTTCTCAAGACAGTTGTTTTCATGGGCATGTAACAAAACGTCTATCATTTTTATCGTAAGATAACACAAGGAGTTAATGTCACCGTATTTTTATTGTTAAGATAGGCAAACATTTATTGGTGAGAAATGTTGTAAATCAAAAAGTGGAAAAAAACCACTACAAATCTGCGAAAAGGTGAAACTTACAGAATCTCAAAACCAAAGCTGGCTGCAGTTACCGAGACTGAGATGTCTGTGTGAGGATTTCAAAACCTCTAGAGGATAGGGACACCTTAAACTAAAGTAAATAAATCTCTTTATTAATAATGTGTCCTCAGGAAAAAAACATGATTATGTTCTTGGTGAGTTTTCATGAAGAAATTCAGTACAAGGTGTAGTGAGTGGAGTTGATCTGAGGCCTTTGTAGTCTTGCACAAATCTTTCATTGTTCTGTTGGGAAGGGATGAGGGCTTATACACTGTGGAGGGTGATCTCATTAGGAGTAATTGTGATGTGAAAAACTGCCCCCACAAAACCATTCAGTAGACTGTTTTAAGGCTCTGTTAAAAATATTAAGCGCTGCATCCCATAGAAGGCTGTTGTGAGATGTTTGAATGTGTTTTTTTGAGCGACTGACTTTTTTCCTTTTCTTGCTTAACTTGCTCTTGATTACAGATCTAGTCATGGTTGATGTAATTAATATACTATTTATTTTATTTTTCTTTAGCTTCATTAAAGAAGAGAAAGTATCCAAAAAAGAAAGCAGTGTACGTTGGGAAGTGCGTGTCGGGCAGGAGCTTAGTGTGTGAGGGACGGATAGGGAAGAAATTGGTGTTTGGTAACTGAATTAGAGTAACCTGTTTATTAAACGGGCTCTTAATTTCTAACTGTGCTGATGTTGACAAAAGAATTAAATGATAACTTGTGCTTGAGTATAGTAGTGTGCTCATTTGCAAGAACACTTCCCATTTCTGGCTTGCTTCCAAAGCAATCGCTAAGAGAATACGCTATTCTGGAAAGAGTCCAGAGGATTATTTATGGTATTTTTCCTCTTTTCTTTCAGTGATCCTGTTAAGAGTTTCAAAACAAACTCTGGCTCCATATTGAGGCAAGTTAATGGATTTGAGAGGGAAAAGGTGGGAGGCAGGCACTCGCTGAATGAGTGCTGTTGGCAGCTCCGACTCAGAACGATTTGGGCGACTGTGGCACACCATAGTAATTGCCGTCTGTGATACTTGTTAGCCGTGTCTGTGCTCGAGGATGTTATTAAGTATGATCAACTATGTAGTGACCGATAATACAGCTGGCACACTGATACCGCGACTGTTTTTTGTGACAGATATTGAGAGAAAGTTATCTGAACGTTGACACTAATGCAACTGGCTATCTGTTACTGTCAAGCTGTGTAACAGATCAAGCAGAAGCAAGTTGGCATGTGCTTCCTTAACCCAGAGCTTTTATAGCCCTGTCTGAGGGCTCACTTCTGCAAATACTTTGTACCTGGCATGTTGTGTGACTTCTTTGGGACTACTCATGGCAGACAGCATTGTGCTCTGTCAGGATGGGCAGAAGTCTGTGATTCCTCTCTCACACTTGCTAAAGCTCAGCTGAATTAACACAATAGGAAGGTCTTTTAAAGATACAGAATAATACCTTATCTGGCTGTGTCATAGCAAAGGTAGGAGTAGATGGCCACATTGTAGTTCCAAATAGCTTTTCAGCCTGTATCTCAGCGGGGATTTTCATTTTTGTTACGCTAGCTTGATTGGCTGGCTGTGATTGAAGAATGTGTCCCTTTTGCATACAGCTTCTCTCCTGTGTGTGAAATTTATTGAGTTCAGATACTGAGACAATTGAATTTTGATTTATACACAGTTCTGCACTGGATGTGTTGCCAGAAGATTTTTTTTCTTGCATGAATATAAGTAACTGGTAATGCAGGGAACGATAAGGTAGAAGACAATTGTGAGCAGTGAAACACATAACTTGGAAAATGAGCTTCCATGTGTTCCTTCTTAAGTGCATTATCTTTCAACTTGAATTTTCTTTTTTTTTCTTTTGGATGTATACTCATTACTTCTTACTATAGGTGTGCCAAGGAGTCTGTGCCACCTCAGTAATCTATCATGATAATGCCAAATTCCAGAGAGCTCACAGTTGTCATTTAAAGCAAAATCTTAAAGCTGGATGAAGCAAACATGCAAAAACTAGATGAGCCTCTGAACTCTTGAGTTGCAGATTCCTTTGCTTATGTGCAAGGACACTATCTTATGTCTGCTGGTGTGTGACACTAGGTTTAAGCGTGGAAGTTATATGTTTTAAAGGATTGACTTGAAAGATACGTATCAAAGTATATTTTCTTCCAACATCATGTATTGCATCTGTTCCAGAAAAAAAACCCCCAAAAACAAAACCAAAAAAACAACCCACAAAACCGAACAACCACAAAACCTCAATCAAGTTCTCAGTAACTGTAGTGAAATTCCAATAGGTCTAACTTTTGTGTTTATTTTTTTTCTCACAGTGGAGTTCAGTCTTTGTGCGTGTAAGGAGCACGGTGATCAATGACTGGTATTTGAAGGAGAAAATAATTCTTTGAGAACTTCTAGTGTAATGTATTTTCCATCTGTTTCATGTTAGCTGAGGGTGGGGAGAGTGAGAATTATATTTATTTAATCGGAGTGGTAGAGTGGTATTTCACAAGGTAGGAAGCATCTCTTAATAGACTGAACTGAGAAATTACATAGATGATTGGGCACCAAGTCAAAAAATTCAGATTTTTAGGGGAAGCCAAATGGGTGCATTTTACTGTTAAACATTTTATAATACCATATGCATTAACAGTTGTTTTATTGGCCCCCAAATGGGGAAGGGATTATAGCTATTTGTATATTTTGTCTTGGTGAGGTAAAAAGGGAGCTACAGGCTTTTCTCTCCTAACTTTGTCATGTGCTGTACACTGTGCCAGACTGCAAGCTGCATCTGTTCCTTCTTTTTTTCTTCTTGGGAGAAACTTTTATCTCTTGACTTTGTGAAATATTACTTGATAACAGATCCAGAAGCCAAACTTGCCTTATGCTTGGCATATCTGTGGTAAAGTATGCGTGGCTGTGTTTTTTTGTTTGAATTTTTGTTGATTTTTTTTTTAATATTACTCCACTTAGGACCTGATGCACCACAAGTTTTATTAGTAGAGGGTGATAAATTAAGAGGGTAATGTGAATAAATTGCCATTAAAAAAATGCTACCGTGCTTCTAAAAAGCCTGAGTTGCACATACTGTGAATTAGGTGTAGAGTTTAGCCCAGGTAGTGTGTCCCAAAAGCTGTGGGTGACCTTCAGCTATGTTGATACCTGCGTTTGCAACTTTAAAATATTTTCCTTTGTGGAGAATGGTAAAAATGAAAAAAAAGTTTTTTCCGTGGCATTTACCTCATCAAGACTCTAAATGTTTCCTATTTTTCCGAAGACGAAGAAGAGTTACCTTTCTTCCATTTGCCTCCAAATTACCCTAGGGAAGAGAATGCAATTATTCTTAGCAAATTGAACCAGAGCAGAGAATGAGGATATCTCCGAGTGTTGTCATTTTCTCTGCAGCCAGTGAAAGTTCAACAGGAGTGTCTACCTCCTTTCCTATTTATCCCTAACATATTAAATAATTTTTCTGTCCCTTTTTAAAGAAAGGTCAATATGATCTGATATCAAGTCCCAGATATAACTGCATAGGAACTACTGGATTAAAAAAATCAATAATAAAAAAATTAAAAATTCATATCAATATCCTTCCAAAGGCTGCTAGCTGGGCTCAGAAAAAATATGACAGTTTCTTTTGAGGCAAAAGTTAAGACCTAGATGGTCAAGAATACTGAAGATGTTTCTACTAAGAAATGCAGAGCTGTGAGTCTTGGTTCCAGCCCCTTCTGGAGTTTCTAGAAAGTTGAATGTCTTGGCTTTCTTTCACCTGGGAATCTTCTGACTATGCATCTTGTCAGAGAGTTGTCGTAGAAAGATATAATTTCTTACTGTGTCATTATGAACACTAGACTGTTCTGTAAAAGATGATTTTCACAAATTTGTCAGTCTTGCTAAGTCATCTGGGTTTCTTTGACCTACCTTCTTCATGTCCTTCAGCTTTTTGGATGTCTCAACACAAAGAATAGGAGAGAGGAACTGTGTCTACTGTTAAACATGTCCTCTTTGAAAAGTGATTTCCAAATTAAATCGTACAGAAAGACTCGTGTTCTATGTGGTCAAGGCTAGCCATTGCCTGAAGAAACTGGTGCCTTCATGCTTTGTAGTGTTTGTTCCAGATCTCCACTGAGGTGCCTTTTGGCAGTAAGATACAGTTAATTTTCTG